CTGATGCCTTGAAGGAACTCGGGTCTGTCCATGTCCAAAGGTGACCCTTTGCCTCCTTTATTGGCGTTCCAGGCTGCGGGCGCTGGGATCCCACCCGGTCCGGGCCGCTTSGGGGGCGCGCGGCGCCAGCGCAGCCAAAGACCTGGCGTCGCAGCAGCCAGCGGCCAGCGAGGCCAGGGGGACTTCAGCTGGAGCCTCGCGGATGCCTCCCTCGAGGGGCTTGGGTCCCCGCCCGCAGACGGGTAAGTCGTGCGGGAACCGAAAGGCAGCTGCAGAGTTGAGGGAGGTGGGGACSGCAGGAGAGCGGAGGACGAGGGGACGCGCGAGAACTGCGAGGGGACTGGGGCAGGGACCAAGTCTGCCGGACGCTAAGAAATGGGGAAACGAGGCTTCTCCAGACCCCCGCAGCAGAGAAACTTCAGGAAGCGCGTCAGAGGCGGGGCATCTGCCGAGAACTGGTACTTTTGCTGCCCACTAAAGGAATCCGGGAGGGACAGGTTAGCAACGGGAGAAACTCGCAGTACTCTGGAGAGAAGATAGTTCCGTGCGGAAAGCAGTTTAACTGAATGTGCGGCGCTTAGGACGTACAACAAACTAAAACAAAACGAATTTCTCCTGCCTTTGGCCCTGGAATCCAGGCATCCCAGCACCCGGGGGGCCGCCTGGAGTCCCTTCCAGCGCTGCCCAGGGACCATCCAGACCTCTCAGGCCATTTAGATCTCTTCAGGAGGGGACCCGCTGGCCCTCGGGACAGGGGCGCCTGGGGTCTTTCACCTCCCAGCGTTTCTGCCCCTTGCTCCCTTTTCAGGGAAGCGCTTCAGCTATGAGCGCACATTCGGAAACCTAGGAATACTGATGCATCCGAAATTCAATTGAACATCCTCACAGGAGGCTTGGGCTGTAACTGAAGCTGGATACCAAACCACGCTGCATCTGAACTTAGATTTTGCACGGTTTATAACGACGTTATTGCAGATTTCAAAAAAGAAGAAGAAGAAGACCAAGGAGGGGTAGAAGGAGGAGAGARAGAAGAGAAGAAAGAGAAAGAGGAAATTGCAAAGCTATACGTCTCCCTCTTTTTTGTTTCGTGTTGTCTCTCCCTCCGTGCACACGCCAGGAAATCCTGGAGCAGAGGATCATGGGTTATGAGTAAATACATTGACACATTGAAACCATTTGCATTTTAAATGTTTCTTCATTAAACAGAACACATGTAAAATGTGGGTGTTTAATCTTAAATTGCACCTCAAAATTACACACACCAAAATGGTAGCTATTTATCTACAAACTCTTGAAAACTCTAGAAAACCAAAGTAATAAAACAATGAGAAATGGTACAGGCGGMGTAAGTTTTATTGAAATGCCCTTGTGTTGTTTTCCTTAATTCCCGAATAAAACCGGTGCTGAAGAGGCAGGTCGAGACAGGAGCAGGGGCTTCCGCTGCTCGTCAGTGGCGCGGGGGCAGCGCCGGGGCCACCGCGGCTGAGCCAAGGCGGGCAGTCGCGGGCCACAGCGCCCCCTCGCCGCCCGCCGAGCGACTCCGGAACCACGTCGCCGCCTTTGCCTCCCGCAGAGCCCCAGGATTCCACAGGGTCTGGCCAGGGCTTGGGCCTACGAAGCCATTAGCGTTCCCCCGAAGACCCTCAAACCCAGGGCTTCGTATCCGGCCCTTCTTAGCGCTTGGCCTCGCATGGAAAACTGGCTCGCTGAAACGTGGACATCCACACCGACGTGTCCAAAATGCCTTGATCACTGTAGAGACAAGAAACAGAAACACGATCCAGTTAACTTCCCACCCCCCACCCCCCACCCCCAAGTTTTAGTGCACACTCGGGGAAAGAGGGAGGATCCACAGCAAAATGAAACTACTCATTGCTGGGTGATTGCTCAAGTACTAGATCCTGGGTTCTGGGTTGCTATTCGTTTCCCCGCAGTGCCTGGCCATTTTCTTTCATTCCAGCTGAGGAGGCCAGAAAGGCGGCCTGAGCCAAGTGCCCGCTCATCTGCTCATCTACAGGCGACCTCACTCACTTGTCTGAACACGTCTCCCGGCCGTCCGGAGTGCAGCGTCCAGGGCGGTTTCGTGGAGGGGTGGCTAGAAGGCCCTGGAGGAATCCCTCTGCTCCCCTGGTGGCCTCGGATCTCCAGGGACCTGTCCTGCCACGCAGGGCCAGCAGATAGCAAGGGACACAGCACCCAGCCTGGACACTTGCAGCATTTTACTCATTGATGTTTTGTTTGTTTTAAAGAAGCCTAAGTCAAGTTTAACCTAAATGCGGGAAAGTGATTTTTCAAAATCAGGGAGCTTTATTCCAAACAGTTTATATATCCTAATAACAATGAGGAGGTAAGTGTTAATGTCCCTGCGTAGGCATTTTAATTTGCTACAGTCACCACCAATAAAAATGGCATGTAGTATGATTCGACTGTTTAATAGTGCAAGGTAGACAGTTTTTATTAGTAACAGGCAGCAGTATGGAAAATTTAGATTTCAGTGGAGGAGCATAATTGCTGGGGGGAAATACACAGGAAGGAAAGCAGCCTTGTCAAGAGCAGCAGCATCGAGCCAGAGGGGAAGGTAAGCAGGCTTCCGGGATGTGCTCTGGCAAGAGGAGACCCTCCAAAGTCACGTGCACTTGTCTGGTTATATACTTAATTGATGTCAAAATCGAATCCTTCTACACATATGCTCCTGCTCCAAACTGGCTTTTTTTTTTTTTTTCCCCAGTAACTTGCTGTTTTCTCTTCTGCCTCTGGCAGAGGTCAGGTGGGGGGGGGTCAAAAAAAGGGGGATGAGTCCTAAGGCTAATGAAAACACAGCAGGAAACCAGTCTTTAGAAACCTAGATACTCCAGGCAAGTCATCCCCAGTGATAAAAATTAGAATCATTTTTTTTAACATAATCTAATTGGAAGCCAACTGGAATGGTTGCAATCTGATCTGTGGCTGTTTTTTATCCAACATGTGGGCATCTCATTTAGGAAGAAACTCCCTCCCAGGAAGACCAAAAATGTCATACATTCCTTGATAGCATGCTCCTCCTGGCTGCCCTCCCTCCTGTAATAATTGATTGAAAGTATTTCCCTTGACCTGAATTAGGATGCCTCACGTGAGGTCCCAGCAATATTGAAGTGCAACTGCTGAGCCCTTGCCAAGCCTGGGGTGTGGGGAAGGGGGAGTGTGTGCCCCTGCACTAGCCTGTTGAGATGTGTGGAGAGAGGGGTGGGCATGTGGTTTGTAGGGGAGGGACAAAGTGGGGAAGGGTGGGTGGAAAGAAAGACCGGTGGGGGACATATCTCTGGGGCCGCTGAGGAGAGGGGTGAAGACTCAGACTGCACCTACCAGGACAGACAGCTTGCCCGCTGGTCCTTGTCTAGCCCAACGCTGCAGTTTGCAGCTGGTTCCCTGGAACACAGGGAAAGACAATGCTGCTGTCTTAAGTGTTCCTCATGCTTCCGGACCAGGTTGGCAGTCAGAAACCCAAGCATCAGAGCTGTAGCCTGGCCCCACACAGAGGTCCCAGACGGGCAGAGCAGTAGGAGACAGCAGAGGCCGATCCGCCAGCCCCAGAGCTCTCCGTGTGGGCAGCCGCAGCGGCAGGCCTGCGCTCAGGCCCAGGACTCAGCCACCATACTCCTTCCCTCCACCGAAGTGGCTCCAAAGGAAGAGACACCTGTTGGTGGGCTCTCAGGCTGCAGCACAGCCGGCCCCTCTTGAAACTCCCTAGTGCCCCCCATTGGTAACCCCTAACCCCTCAGGCCTGGTCAGCAGACGCCCTCTTCTGCCAGTCCGGGTGAGGGAGGGGTGAAAGACCGTGACAGGGAAATAGGGATGGGGGTACTTCGGGTGCTGAATTCCCCAAGGCCATGGCTGACCGCCTAGCCTTCGGGCCCTCCAGGCACCTCCCGAGTAAAGCCGCAGGCCACCAGGGCTACCTTGTCGCCAACTGCGCTGTGCCACCAGCTGGCTCCCATGTGTCCCTTCCTGAGATGGCAGTGAGGTTCCGCTTATGCCAGAGGCAGTTCATCCAGTATCGACTCCCCCAAATTCCGAAGAAGGCATCAACTTTTAAAACAAAACAAAATAAAACTCTTTTGAGGTGCGGCGTTTTCAGGGCGAAGTATTGGCGGCGCGTGCCCCGCGAATTCCCAGCGTGGAGGTCCCAACACGCCGGGCCCAGCGTCTCCGCGGACTTAGGACAGAAGGCTCACCTCTGTGCCCTCCGGGCATTTCCAAACCCAGGCGGTGATGGTGGCGCAGGAGCGCAGGGCAGACGGCCAGCAGCGAAGCCACACAGACGCCTCGGCCTTGAGGCAGTGCCGACCGCAGAGGTGGGAGTGAGAGCCGCACACGCCACCCCAGGGAGCACTGGGACTGCAGGTTCCCACATCCTCCCCTCCAGCTCCCAGCGGCTCTGGGCTGGACACTGCAGTCCGGTGTGCAGTCACCTGGGGCGCCTCTTCAGAGGTGGCCAGAGGTGCACGCGCCGTGAGTTCCCCAAGTAGAATCRGCCCGGCCCGACTGCGAACGGTCTCTTGCCTAAACGGTGAGGGCCGATCGGGGCGGGGCAGCGGCTGGACAGGCCCGAGGGGGGGGGGTGTAGAAGGTATCTTGGCCGAAGTGGGGAAGGCGGCTGGATCAGGGTGCCTGGAGATGGCCGAGAATATGTGCGAGTGGGAGGGGGCGTGCGCCGAGGCGCGCAGCCCGGCCTGGAGACGCTGCAGGGCCGCGGGCGGCCGGCTGGGGCCGGAGCTGCGAGAAGCGGCTGCGCCACAAAAGCCTGAGCGTCCCTCCCGCCCGTTCGCCTCCCTCTACTCGGCCCTCCCCTCCTCTCTGCTCGCTGCCCCTCCCCCGGCCCAGGCCTGGAGGCTGGAGCGGGCGGAGCAGGGGAGGGGCGGGCACCCGAATATGCAGATGAGCGCGTGACGGACAGCTCCGCGTTCCAATGTCCCTCCGAAACTCGAGCGCTCCTTCCTCAACTCCTCACTCCCGACTCCAGACTCCCCCAAACCCCGACCGCCGGCCCGGCGCGCGGCTGCGCCCACCGGTTTCGCGCTGCCGCCGCAGCCGCCACTACCGCCCCGCGTTTCCCCGGCCCGCGGGCCGCCAGGCTAGTGCCCCGACCAGCCTGCCTCGGCCCGCGGCCCCGGTGTCCACCGCCGCGCCGCTCCCGGGCCGGGTGTGGATGGAGGGCGCCGCGCGCCCTGCCCGCAGCTCGGCGTGACGCGGGCCGGGAGCCCCGCGCCCACCATGTCCTACCCGCAGGGCTACCTGTACCAAGCGCCCGGCTCGCTGGCGCTCTACTCCTGCCCGGCGTACGGTGCGTCCGCGCTGGCCGCGCCTCGCAGTGAGGAGCTGGCGCGCTCGGCGTCCGGCTCGGCGTTCAGCCCGTACCCGGGCTCGGCGGCCTTCACGGCGCAGGCGGCCACTGGCTTCGGCAGCCCGCTGCAGTACTCGGCCGACGCTGCCGCGGCCGCCGCCGCCGGCTTCCCGTCCTACATGGTAACCGCGCGCGGGTGGGGACTCGGGACACTGGGTTGGGGACCCTGACCGGGGGTGGGCTGAGTGGGGCGGAGGATCGGCTTGCAAGGGCTCCGGGAATGTAGCGAGGGCGGCGGCTCAGGACTGGGCGACTCGGGCCGCCGCTCGGCAGGCAGAACAGGGGGCCGGAGTGATAGGCAGAGCCGCGAGAGCGGGATAGGAAGCCGGTGGGGCTTCCCCTCGGCTCCCAGGATAATAGTCTTTAAGAGCCTGGAAGCGCGACTTCACCGGGGCCGGGTCTATCTTAGGCTGTCCCTGCTCACGCCTGCAGTCTACTGAGGGATCCGGAGCATGCCGGGGGCTCGCTCACATTGGCTTGGGGCTCGAGGGTCGGCGTAGCTGGGGCCTCCGCGGCGGCTGCCGGGCGATTCGTATTTAGTTGCCGGGCCTGGGGCAGCGGGGTCACAGAGTTGGAAGAGAACAGAGCGTCTGGCTGCGGTTCCAGCGCCCGGCCCGACGCGCCCTAATTTTGGCCTTAATCTGTCTCCCAGACCGTACTTTCGAAAAACGTGTTGGCCGGCATGGGACCCGCCAAGTGCTGTAGGAGTCCTCTGTGCACCGAGAGCGGCTCCTGCTTCCGCGGCGTCGGCCCGCGCGCCTCTGGGTTGCGCAGCTGGGCCCGGACGGGGTTGAAACACTTTTCGGGCAAATGAGGCCCTAACCCGGGTTGTAGCCACCACTCGCCCTCGGTGGAATTCCAGGGCAGCGACTGAGTAGCTGAGGCCTAGCGAAGGCTGCAAACGTCTTGAATTTAAACGTTAAAGGGTGAATTAAAATGCTAATTACCGCGTATTTGAAGAATTCGAAACGGTGACTGGCTTCTGAGTTGCAAATTGGATTTACCGAGCTTTAGAGCGGTGAATAGTGGAGTGGGGGCTCTGGGGTGTTATTTTTAACCATATAAGGGTGGGAAGGGGGAGTGCGGGGAGGGGGCAGCGCTCGAAGCATTCGGAGAAATTTAGTTATCAAGAAACTACCTGGAGGCCTGAGCGCTTGGGCGCTCTTGTTTGTGTACTTTGTATGCGCGGCTCGGGAAACATTTAGGGGAAGGTATATCGTTTTAGAAAAGTGAAGGAGTTCATAAATTCGAGAATAACACTAAAGTACTTTGTGTGATCCACAGCCGACCCTAAGTCCTCCACTGCGTGGTCCCTGCTCCTTTGCTGCAGGGAAGCACGATCCAAGCGCGGGAGAACCAGAGGAGGAAGGGCGGCCGTGGATGGGCGGGGCGGGGGGGGCAGCGGTTCGCCTGGACGATGAAGCGGCTGGGTCTCCACGGGCAGCACTCACAGTCTCTCCTCGCTTCCAGGGCGCACCCTACGACGCGCACACGACTGGGATGACCGGCGCCATCAGCTACCACCCCTATGGCAGCGCGGCCTACCCATACCAGCTCAACGACCCGGCATACCGCAAGAACGCCACGCGGGACGCCACAGCGACGCTCAAGGCCTGGCTGAACGAGCACCGCAAGAACCCGTACCCCACCAAGGGCGAGAAGATCATGCTGGCCATCATCACCAAGATGACCCTCACGCAGGTCTCCACCTGGTTCGCCAACGCGCGCCGGCGCCTGAAGAAGGAGAACAAGATGACGTGGGCCCCGAGAAACAAAAGCGAGGACGAGGATGAGGATGAGGGCGACGCTGCTAGGAGCAAGGAGGAGAGTCCCGAGAAGGTGCAGGAGGGCACGGAGACCTCTGCCGAGGACGAAGGTGAGCTAGGCCGCGGCGGGCGCGAGGTCTTAGGGAACTTTCTTCCCAGGCGGGGCGCAGTGCCAGGTCTGGTAGGATGCTTCCCTSGTGAAACCCCAGATCCTGGCCCGGAAAGCGGCGGCCTAACACTGCTTGGCCGGCTAATTCGGCCTAGGGATTCCTCCGGGCGCTTAGGGGAGGTCAGAGTCCCCTTCACACGTGGCTGCGGTTGGGGCTAGGATCCCAGGGGTGGGGTGATGTTCTGGCTGCCTGCACTGTCCCTGCGAATCACCCACTGTGCCCGCGCCTGGCAGGGATCAGCCTGCACGTCGACTCGCTCACGGATCACTCGTGCTCAGCCGAGTCAGATGGAGAGAAGCTGCCCTGCCGAGCCGGGGACCCCCTGTGCGAGTCTGGCTCGGAGTGCAAGGACAAGTACGACGATCTGGAGGACGACGAAGATGAGGAGGACGAGTGTGAGCGGGACCTGGCGCCGCCCAAGCCTGTGACCTCGTCCCCACTTACAGGCGTAGAGGCGCCGCTGCTGAGCCCCCCGCCCGATGCCGCGCCCCGCGGCGGCGGCGGCAAGACGCCCCTGGGCAGCCGGACGTCACCTGGTGCACAGCCACCCACCAGCAAGCCCAAGCTGTGGTCGCTGGCCGAGATCGCCACATCGGACCTCAAGCAAACGAGCCTGGGCCCGGGCTGCGGGCCACCGGGACTGCCAGCGGCTGCGGCACCCGCCTCCTCGGGCGCACCTCCGGGCGGTTCTCCCTACCCCGCTTCGCCGCTGCTCGGCCGCCACCTCTACTATACGACGCCCTTCTATGGCAGCTACACAAACTACGGGAACTTGAACGCAGCGCTGCAGGGCCAGGGCCTCCTGCGGTACAATGCGGCGGCCTCGGCCCCCGGCGAGACTCTGCACGCAGCGCCTAAGGCGGCCAGCGACGCGGGCAAGGCGGGCGCGCACCCACTGGAGCAGCACTACCGGACCCCCRGCGGTGGCTACGAGCCCAAGAAAGGTAGGCTGCCCGACGCCCTCTGGGTGCTGAGGGAGGGATCCTGGTTGGTTAGAACTGCCCAGAATCCCAGGGAAAGCGCGGGTGGGGTGGGGTGGGGAGTCCACCACATAACAGTTCTGGAAGTGGGTGCCTCTTACAAGAGTAAAGCAAGAAGGTTGAGCTACTCTTTTGAATTAGGGAAAGACGGTGGGGGTGGAGCGTTGAGAGTGAAAGGAAGAGGGCTGGGCCTTCCCTCTAGAGCTACCCTGTGATTATTTACTCTTTATTTAATTTACTATTAATATTATCATCATGACCGTTTTAGTTTTGGCAAATACTTATTGCCTCAAAATGCAAATTACAGCTTGTCTCCCTGCTGACTAAGCTTAAGCTTGGGTGTGTTGGTGAGTGCTACTGGTTAAGTAGGGTCTCCGCCAAATCCCCTTCCCTGCCTTCGGATAAAGGGAAAAGAAAAGTTCTCAGTTGCTCTCAGAGGCCCAATTTCTTCAATTTAGAAAATAAAAACATCYCCCTTTCTTCTCCCATTTCCATATTGCCTCAGTTGCTCATAATTCAGGCAACCTGAGAAAGGAGGTCCAAAGGAAAGAAAGCAAGGGGAACATAGTGAAATAGCCAACATCTGTCTCAGAGAGTGGCCATGAAGGCCAGGACTGGCCATGAAGTGCGGGCCTGGATGCCAGGCTGGAGGGTCKGGAAGGTGCGTGGCTAGGCCATCCTATGGATGGTGGGGCTAGGTTCTCACTAACTGCCCTCCCCTGACAGATGCCAGCGAGGGCTGCACGGTGGTTGGCGCAGGCGTCCAGCCCTACCTATAGAAGGGCCAGCTCAGCAGTGCAAGTAAGTGGGCATCCCCGTGCTTCTCTGACCCCCTGGGGAGCCTCCCAGCCCCAACTGGTTGTACGATGGCTTAATACGTTTTCTTGCTTCTTGTCATGGGGTCAGAGCAGTGCAGGCTTCGGGGTCTTTTTTCCTTTAAGAGGGAATCCTCGTTCTGCTTCACGAGTTTCTTTTCTGCTCCATTTCTGTTTTGAAGAATCAGTCCTTTATTTGGAATTGGAATTTGAATGTGTGTGTGTGTGTGTGCGTGTGTGTGTGTGTGTGTGTGTGTGTGTGTGTATTCCAAGCATCAGTATTTATATTCCAAATATCAGTAAGGCTGTTGCTTTTCCTGAAAAATAGACGATTAAATTTGGGCATCTGTATGTCTGGTTGAAACAGTTTCTTTTCTTTCTTTCTTT